GGAGTTGCCCACCCCTGCTCTATGCTAGCATTTAAGGAAAAGGACTAAACCTATTCTGCAGCTGATGAATTTGTGTGACACTTATTTTTCTTTTTACCTGCTGTGTTTACGGGCTGTCACCACCATGTGCTGTAGCTGTCCGTCCGGGCAACACATGCGACAGTGGACATGCCTCGTTCTGCGCAGCACTGGTGCAATCAGCCTGGCCCACTCCACACCCTTTGTGCCTTCCTCCACTGCTTCTGTCCGCCTCAAAATTAGGTAGCTGAACTTCTCGATCTGACGGTCATTGTGCTGGAAAAGAAAAAAAAAGGGTTGATATGGAATTCATTCAGCATTTATCTGAAAAAACACAAAACAAAACATGTTTGCATATATAGCACCTTCTGTCAGCAACAAATATAAGACAAGTGTAAATTAATAATACTTAAAAGGCAACAAGAAGAAAAAGTTATGAAGTTAAAAATAACGAATTCAATCCAAGATAAAATCTTGGCGCAAGACTTTGTGTCTTTTATGTTTTACATGCTATTAAATAAATATGAGTTTCCTGATAATGTACAATAATACGAAACTTCAGCTGTGTTCACAGAAGGGAATGAAGTGCAGCTGATTTTAATAGCAGAGCCTGGTACAGAAGACTATATGTTGTTTTTGCAGATTACACTAAAATGTTTTAGTCTTATTTGGTCTGTTGCTTGGTTTGCAGGACCAGCATTCTAAGAAGAAAAGCCTCAGAACTTCCTCTCCTCCCGTCACCCTTCCAGCTCATCCGATGTGTTCCCAAAGCAGCTGAGGCATAATCTCGTGGGTCTGTCCCAGAGATTCTCTAAGTAGAATATGCTCAAAATGCCTCACCAAGGAGGTGTCCAGGTCATATCCTAGTCAGATCCTCAAAAACCCTCAGCTGGCTCCTTTCGAGTTGCGGATGTACTCTGAAGCCCTCAGAAAGGACTCCCAAATGACAACAGTGAGCCACCCTGCGGAGGTAGTTGATTTCTACTGCTTCTATCTGTGATCTTTTTGTCACTAGAGCTTGTGACCATAACTGTATACCCACCACTGCTTGCCATCTTTCTCTGAGGGCAACTCTAGACTGAGAGTCCAGCCCCTCTCCAGGAGACCTGTTGCAGAGCACCAGCTGTGCGTTGAGGTGAGCCTGACTATATTAGCTGGTACTACTCAAGCACTCATTCACCAGTGTTGTCTTAGGACAATAAGGATAATTTAAAATTCATGCAATGCTGCTCCGGTGGAGTCCAAGAATAAAAAGAAAGAGACCTGGTAATTAACAGATTAGATCCCACTTAAAGTGAAAAGCTGTAAACAGACATAGACAGTTGAGTCTTACCCTGGGTAGAGACAGAGGTTGGTAATGCTGCTGGAAGTTGCAGGGTGTGACGGGCTCATGGGCCAGTTTGGGACACACCAGTTCATGTGGACACTAAAATAAATAATAAGACTGAGAAACTAATGGCTCTAAGTATGACTTTAATTAAATCTACTGGGTGTTAAACTTACTGGCGCAAACACTGATGCTGGCCTGGAGTCATAAATGGTCTTCTCTTGTTTCTGGAGTCAGAAAACCAACAATTTAGTTTGATCAATAACAACTATTGTGAACTGCTGTCTTATCCAGTGTGTTTAAATACCTTCAATAAAGTATCTCTGGCTTCCATGAGTATCTGATGGCCCTCTTTGGTCCCATTTTCCACCAGCACCTAGAACATAAAATGCAACGATTAATAGTTTTTTTTTCCTGTTTCCTTTTAAACACCAGAGGCTCACCAATCATTTTCTTAAGTTGTATCTTTCTTTGATCTCACCAGATATGAGCTTGTCTTTCTCCAAAGAGTGAATGCTGCCTCCTCTCGGTCTTTCACATTTGGCAGCTCTGAGAGGGTAAAAGCTGCAGTGACTAAATCAAACTGCACCTGAAAGGAGAAAAAGGATGGTCAGGATTTCCAGTTGTTGAGATTATCTGGAACATTAATGACAGCAAATCAAAAATATTGGGATTTTCTTTATTTTTTGATTTTGTCTGTTTGTGTTCTTTTCTAGAACAACAACTAAAAATATTTTTAAAATCCATGTATAACCCAGAATTGAAGTCTAGAATATTGCATATACATTTTTAATAACACTGATTTTTTAAAATTCTTGACAGTGAACACATTGTGACTTAAATAAAAGCTGAGGGAGTTTTACCTTAGGAGAGACAGGGAGAAACTGCCTGAAATATACTTGTTTGATGCAGGGTTCAGCTCTTTCGTCATCACCTGCTCAATTAAAAAATAAAAAATAAATAAATAATAATAATAATACAATCCAGTCAGTTCTTATTAACATCTGTATTTCACATAAAGAAACAAAAATAAATTGTCTACATGTGTGTCTACCTTTCAGAAGTTGTTCTGCCAAAATGTTCATTGGCCCTGAGCTGTCCACACACACCATCTCCTTCAAAGAGTCACCCCAGCATGCGTGAGATGCCCTGAGGAAACGGCCAGATTATAAACTTAGTTTAGCTATTCAGACTAAAGCATTTACATGTTTTACTAGTGTTGCACACTAACCAGACAACTGTTCCTAACCCAGAACCAAAATCCAGGAGAGTGTGAGGAGCAAAGGAGGGATCCCTCTTCTTTATCTAAATGATGAGGGGGAAAAAACTGCAGGTATAACTGAGTTTAACCACAAAAAACAACTTGTGCTTGGATTCAAGCGATTCTTAAAAAGGAAGCTCCCTGTATCACCACGTAAGCCGATCGCCTCCACAGCACTTTGCTACCTCATTCAGAGCTCTCCTCACTGCAGCGTAACCGCCAGCAAGTCGAGCTGCCATGTAGACCACGCCGAGCTCTTCATCGTACCTGAAACACAGTGAGATGCTTGTAAATCTACTGCACGTCAAATTTAAGGACCAAAACTACAACTTCAGGATGGATCATGGTGGAGCGCAACCATTCACTGAGTTTATCTAAAGAAAGCATCTTAAGTCTGTTAAAGGTATAAAATGTTCAGCATTTGTCATAAATCGCAGTTTTAGCTTCTCCTATTATGGGTAAAAGAGGCTTTTTCTCCTTTAAGAATCAGTAAATATAACAAAGAGGCATTCAGAACAGACTGAAACGTGAAAAACTGATAATGGATAACACTGTAGTTAAATGACATGTTACTTCGTGGGTGCCCAGTGATATGTCGTTCTTCGGAGCTCTGAGAGAACTTTCCTCCTGATGCGGTCTTCCATTGCTTGCTCGTCTATATCTGCAGAATGAATGTATATTTATTTTTTCTAGCTGTTGCATGTTGATCTTGTTGCATGTGTATTATTACTTTTAAAAAAATTATACATATGTCACCCACCTCCTCCCTTTTGCATGGCTTTCTCCCACAGTTCTTTCTCCAGGCTCACAGCTTTCTGCCTCAAAGTTAAATCCTCGACCGCTCGTTTCCTGCTCCACAGGAAGTTCGTGAGCTTGTGAATGCGCTCGGGAAGCTGATTCACCTGAGCTCCTACAGATGCAGAGATGGATGAGAGGCAAAGGGTTTCAACCAATGAAGCTGGTCAGAAAGATCTGTTATATTAACTGATTTACCAACACTAGGCTTACTGTGAATAATCGACTGCGCAGCCACGTGGAGTTCCTCAGGTAGCTGTAGAGTTTTCAAGTTGGTCACACCTGGGTGTTTTCTGTGTGGTTCACCCTTTAGGAAATCTACCTGTGGCTGTGGGTGTGTAGCTGCACTTATTGCCTGAAATAACAGGTTTAAATGATGCTGTTTTACTGACCTTTGAATTAAACTAAAATATGATTATATGAGGAAAATAAAAAACAGGAAATCCAATTACAGCCAGATTTTAGAAAAAAACAAACAAACAAAGAAACCAAACAAAATCTGTGTTTCATTTTTTCAAAAGATCCAGTGGCCACTACATTAGGCACATGTACTGTTTGAGTGCTTGTTAATGTAGGTATTTCATCAGCTAATCACATAGCAGCAACTTAACGCATTTAGGCATGCAAACATGGACAAGAAGACCTATGGAAATTCAAACCAAGCATCAAAATTTGGATGAAAAGTAATTTATGTTACGTGACGTGGTTGTTTGTGTAACAATATACTCGAGTATTGTTGCTTACCATGTCCACCTACTTATGATCACAGTATTCTGAAGGCAAAAGGAGGGCCTATCCAGTGCTAGCAAGGTGTAAATAATGAAGTGGCCAGTAAGTGCAGTTTTAGTTTATTTAATGAAATGTTTGAGTCCAAGGTAACTGGGAACCAGACAGCAGCCTTACTGGCTCCAGTTATAATGTCAGAAAGACATAGCCAAGAGATTTTTTATGCTGAGCTGATAATAACCCCAGAAAATCCCCTCAGTGTAGTATTCAGAGATGTGTTTGGGCAGTGTTTGAATGAACGTAGAAATCATGTTTTACACCAGTGAGAGTTGGCAGCCCTGACATCTGGGGGACAGGTAGAGTAGATTCACGACTAAATGGTGTATATTATGCCAAAAATCAAAACTAAAATGTAAATGTACAGACTGACATTGTAACTTATTGTTGATCTGCTAAAGCTATATGGAAACATCTATCCGACAGTGTCTGACCTCTGCGATTAAAAAGCTGCATTCAGTGGTAATATCAATCCGTACTCACCCGGCACACCAGCATCGCCAAAGGTGTTCTCTGACAGAGAACACAGGCGCTAAATCTACGCGGTACCATAACATCTGCTTCTAACCGTTACGTTTAAATGGCTTAAAATTCAACTTTCATCCAGCCTTCCTAAAGTGTCACGTTAGAATCCCACTAATCCTTCAACAAAATAATTCCGACCACTACCTAAGGCGGAACACTTTCGCCCCTAATCTCTGTTCCTACCTCAGGAGAACAACGAAGAGTGCTACTCCGCCTACTGTCCAGCATCTGCGACATCAAGTTTACCTCTCGGCCACGGAATAGACAAAGTTGGGACTAAATGAAAACAAATATAAACCTAAATGTATTTTAAACTTTGAACTGCGTTTAAAATAAATCGCTGGCATATTAACCGTCTTCGCACCGGAAACAACAATGGCTTCACTTTTCGCGGCGGAGTGATTCATCTTCACATGAAACAATCGTTTGTAGTGCGGCTGCCGGTCAGGAAACAGTAGTACGGTGGGGAAAAGTTTCCCGCCGTGTTTTAGTGTTATCGCTGAGGTTCCCCTTTAACAGCAGCCAGATAATTATTTTTAATAACCCACCATGAGGCGAGCGAGAAGTTCCAGAAATAAATGTGAAAGTGCACCAGAAAATGGAGAAACCCAGTCAAAAACAGGTCTGTGTGTCGTATTAGCATAATATTGTAGCTGCTGCAGGGTAACTACGCCATTGAACTGTGGACATGTTCGGACAGGAGACAGCATGAAGATCAATATTATGAAGCTTCACTCATAATTCAGACACCGGTACTGTCTGTGTGAAATAATAATAAAAAATTGTCAGCTTAAAAAACAAACGAAACAATTTTTGTAGCTCGGTTTGCTGATAAATCCGGTTGCGTTTCTAAAATTTCAAATAAAATAAGTTCCTAAGTGAGCAGTTA